GTAGTAAGTAATATATATATATATATATATATTATATATATATATATATAAATATATATATATATATATATATATATATATTTAAATTAATTATTATATATTATATATTAATTAAAAAAAAATACACATAATATTAAATAATATTATGTATATTTTTCATTTTTTTAATCGCGATTACTCCATACCAAATATACCATCGAAATTATTATTTAATATAATTTATATTTATTTTTATAATTATTCTTCATTTTAATATCTATTTTATTATTTAAATAATAAATTAATATTTTAAATATATACAATGGCAATTCCAATCTATTAAAGCATGTGTGTGCTTTCAAATAAGGATTTTTCATATCAAATTTCACTTATTCAATACAAAATTTCGATATATTTCCTCTATTAGATTCTAGATTTCTATAAAAATATTTAAACTTACAAAAAAAAAAAAAAAAAAACTTAAATCCATCTATTCCAATTTTTTATGATCCAGTACAAAAATGCAGAAATTTAGCTAATTAAAATTAATTAATTTTACTTAAAATTTTCCAAAATGATATAATTAAAGGATGATTAACATTATATCCATTTTTATAAATTGTATTTTCTTTCCAATCTTTCAAGCTTATAAAGGGAAGCCCATAAACTATCATCATAAATTCATTATTTTCAAAAACTTCAATTATATTCTAAGGAATAACTTCATAAAAAGATTATTTAATTGCTTATATAAATGGCTTTATTCTTTTTTATGATATATATTTGAGAACTTTTTCCATATAAAAGTTTTTATTTTATTCGGTAATTTGTATATTTTTTCCGTTTTGTATTAACTCTTACTACTCATATACGAATTCTCCTATATATTAATTTTCTGAAAGTGTATTATTTTTTAAATAAAGGAAAGATCTATAAAGCTTTTTTTTATTTATTTATTAAATCGTTTTTTTTATTTTATTTTTAATAATATAATAATAATAAATAAATTTATACATTTTAATCATGAGAATATAAATCATATATAGTAATTCTTTTATTTAAAATTTATTTTATTGTTATTTGGTCTAATTAGCATTCCAAAGGAATTTTTTCCATTATAGATTTCGCTAGTACTTTTCCAAATAATTTAAATATTTTATCATCATTAGGATTTATTTTCGGGTTTATTTTATAAGTTGTATCTTCTGTATCTGCTAAAATAAAAGGCTTTTCGTTTGTTTTGCCAAATAATTGTTTTTAAATTATATATATCCATTCTCTTAATAAACCTCCGGCATCTTAAACTTTGTCATTTTAGAAAATTATTTTTACTTCTTTATGGAAGTTTATTATTTCAAAGCAATCTAAAGAACTTTAAAGTATGTTGCTACTATCAACTAAAATACTAAAACAAATAAACAAAATGTATTATTTTTTATATAAGAATATATAAAATACGAATCAAATCCTTCTGACCAATGTATTTTTAGATTTTAGATTTATTTGCGAAACCAAATTAACTTTTCTTCATATGGGAAATTCTTTATTTCTTAAGGGGAAAGCTCTTTTATTAAATTCATTTAAAATATTTAAGGTTTAGGATGCTTTTCCCATATAAATTTTTCAGAATTCTTATCTTTTTATAAATACCAATTGAAGTTTTTGTCATCTTCTAATATTTATTATTATTAAAATTTTATTTATGTGTTTTGATTAGGGCATCCTTATATGTGTTAATGAATCTTTTTATTTTATTTTATTTAAAATAAAAACAAAATAAATAAGATTTTTGTTTTGCTTTTTTTTAAAAAAAAATACTTCTTATTAATTTTAAAATGTATTTAAACATAATGGACATATTTATATTTAAGATGATATTCTTCTATTAGGCAGTTTTTTATTTACACAGTTTCCCATTTATTTATTAAAAATATATATTTTATATAATATATATATATATAAATATATTTTATTTTAATATATATATATATATATATATATATTATTCTAATTATATTTTATTTGTTTTTCTTTTTTCTATTAATATATAATATTATTATAAAATTAAATTATTATTTTTAATTTTTTTCAGTTAATAAAATTAATTATTTATTATTTATTTTGTTAATAAAAAATTAATGAATATATTTAAATTATCAAATTATTTTTAAATAATTAATACTTTTTTCTTTTTTTTAGAAAATAAATGAATTAACTTTAATTAGTAATAAATATTTTGGAAAAGAAAAAAAGAAAAGAATAGGATATTGATTTTGTATTAAATTACATATAAAATTTTGAGCCAATAAAAAAATTATTTGGAGAAGACACAGATTATTAAGCGAAATTATAAGTAAAAAAAAAAGCATTTTTTTTAAAAAAAACAAAAAAACAAAAAAACAAGATTTGTAAAGAAATGACATTAGAAAAATATGAAATAAATGAATTAATAATAACATAAGGAGACCCTTCAAATAATAAATTTTATATATTATTAAATGGATAAGTGGCTATTATAAAATTAAATAATACAAATGTCTTTTAATTATCAAATTTAACATTAAGCAATATAAAAGCAAGCGAGAACTATAACAATTAAACTATTTCATATTCAAATATTTAATCATAAATGTAAATAAACGAGGAAAATAATTTAATAGATGATTAAATATAAGAAAAAATCAATCAATATGGGACATTAATAAACTTTTTACAAACTGGCTAAGGTTTTGGTGAATCTGCTATATTATAAAAAGATCCAAAAGTAATAATAAAGTAATGGTATTTTTTGTTTATTATTATTATTTTTAAAAAAATGAAATATAAAAAATTTAATTTATTTATTATTTTTTTTTAAAAAAAAAGAAAGCTATAAGAGGAGCTACAGTTTTATGTGTTTAAAATAATACTTATGTTATAATTATTTAAAAAAAACATTTTAATGCTTTTCGGGAGAAGTTTACTATTTCTGGTCTATAAAAATATAATATATTAACTAATTTAATGCCTAGTTTAAAATAAATCACTTCTAAATAAACTAGGGAAGATTTTCTTTATTTTTTTAAAGAAGAAGGGATTTCTAGAGGATAAATTTTAACTTAAGAAAATTATTTTTCAGATAAAATTTATATTTTGAAAGAAGGAGTTGTTTTAATTGAAAAAAATTAAAAAGATCTTCTTAATTTTTAAGATGTTAAGAAAGTTAATATTATTATTATCTATTTATACACAAAAAAATTGTTTTTATAAAGGTCAAATTAACAAGTATTGATAATCATTCTTTTATTGGGGAAGAAATACTTGATTAAAATACAAGTATTGGATAGTATAAATATACAGTGAGGGTTTAGTCAGTTAAAGGGAGAGTTTTTGTGGTAAAAAAACATATTTTAACTCATAAATTTCCGAATATTGTAAGAGAAATTAAAAATAATTTTGCAATAAAGGAGAAAGGGAGAAAGATTTTAATGGATAATATAAATAATGTTGAGTTTATAAAATAATAAATAGGGAATAATTAAAACAAATACTAATTAAATAAAGAATTATATTCAAAAATGTAAAATTAAATGATAAAGAAATATGAATAAAGAAACTCAAGTAATAAAAAGGAAGTAAAAATTAGCGATATTTTCGAAAAAAAAAAGAATTTTTAGAAAAAGAATAAAAAAAGATGAAATTGATATTATTGTTAAAAAATTAAGAAAATTAAAGAATTTAAAATTATATTCTTAAGAAAAAAAAACGCATTTTGGCATGATAACTTTAGATAAATTTTATAATTTGAACAATAAAAAAAACACATAAATAAAAAATTTAATTTTGATAATTCTTTAATTTATAATAATAATAATAATAATAATAATAATAATAATAATAATAATAATAATAATAGTATTAAAAATAATATAAGTTCTTCATAATATTCTAAAAAAAAATTGAATTTCATTAAGTAAATTGAGTTTGTTAATCATAAATATTAAGAAATTTATAAAAATAAATCTTTTTCATAAAATATTACAAGTTAATCTCCTTTTTTCATTTGTGGATTATTAAGTTCGAAATAAAAAAATCTGTCATCAAGAATTATGTCACCTAGTAAATTTAAAATTACTTAAACAGAATTTAGAAAAATTAAATCTTCTAATAATTCATTAGAAAGAAGATAAAAATGAAAAAATCAATAAAAACAATAATATTATATATATATATATATATATATATATATATATATAAATATATAAATAATTATATTTATATATATCATATTTTCAAAAATATGCATTACAATTAAATTCATTATTTTCTTAATTATAAATTCTATTATTATTACTTGAAAAATCTTTCAATTTTTCTGTAGAAATTCCTTTTAAAATTTATTTAATTTTTTGTATTTCTTAATTATTTGGAATTAACTCATTTTTATCGAAATTGTCTTCTTCCAACACCTGTTTATTATGATAAGGATTTTATTATGTTTATAGTACAAACTGGTTTATTTTTTTCCCATTTACAAGCACATTTTTTTAAGAATAATTATAAGGGAATTCTAAATTAGTAGAATTATAAAAATGTTAATTTCTATTTACTATTTCGGACATTTAATCTATTATTTATTAAAACTCAGGATCTTTTTATTAATTGTGATTATTTTATTTATTGGATTAGTCTTTATTAATATTTTTAGAATGATTATTGATGTTAAGAATATGTGAATTACTATTTGATTCGTCATCGCTTCGATTGTTTTTTAATTTTCTTTATCTTGTTTTTTTCTTTCCGATTCTGCCTTCTCTTTTGAATGTTTGAAGGATAGCTTTTGAAGTTGAAAATTTTATTCCGAATTCTTTTGCGGCCTCTTTTATTGTCACTTCTCGTGAAATTACACGCTTTATGAATTTCTCACGAATGTCTTAGGATATTGAACTATATTTTTTTTTCATTGATAATGATTAGATATTATTACTTTCTTAACTTTCTTTGCTTTCTTTACTTTCTTGTTTTTGTAAAAAATCATCACTGTTTTTGGATTTATGGGAAATTAAAAGTCTTTTTTCATGCTTGGAGATGTTATGAGTTTTATTCATATTTTTTTTTTATTATATTTTTATTTTTAATTTTTTTTTTTTTTTTTTTTGGTAAATATTGCTCTACTAAATTAATTTCTAGTTTTATTTTTTAATTTTTTCTTCCTTGATATGTAATTCATTGTTAATTTTTATGAATATATATATATATATATATATATATATATAATTATATATAATTATATATATTTTAATATAAAAATATTTTGATTATTATTTCTTATTATTATGATTATATATAAAATATTATTATATAATTTATTTTTTTGGACTAAAATTTTTTTTTTTTTTATTTATTTATTTAAGTGTATTTATAAATAATTATAATATATTTATTTTAAATTTGAAACAAAAAAAAACAAAACAAAACAAAATCTTCAAACAATTTTTAAGGATTTTTACTTATTTTTTTTTTTTATTTTTGTTTTCTATTTTAAAAATATTTTTATCAATTTTTTTTTGAATTTTGTATTTATTGTCTTAATCATCATTATCACTTTCTTCTTTAATTTTTGTTTATTTTTATTCTTGTTTTTTTTATTCTTTTTTCTTTTTAATATCGAAATCTTTATCTATTAATTATTTTTTGCTAATTCCCTTTACGTTTCCTTTATTATTTTAAATCATCTATATAATTAATGTGTTTATTAATATATTAGATTTTATTAAAAAATATTATTTATATTTTTACATATTCTTCACAATAACCTAATCCCATTTTTCTATTTGAATATTATAAAATGTTTTTTTAATCATCTAAATTTGTATATTAATTAGAATTTTAACTTGTTTTCATTTATTTAATTTTATATTTTATAATATTTCGTTTTTATATATAATTTATATTTAATATATAAATTTTTAACAATTATAAATTTAACTATAATATTTAAATAATAATAATCAATTTTATTTATAAATATAGAATTTTCTTTATGATATATATATATATTGAAAATATTTTATTAATAAAGAAAAAATAATTTTATTGACTTATATATATATATATATATATATATATATATATATATATATATATATATATTATATTATATTTAAATTATTTTTTATTTTTTTTAATATTAAAAAATAATTATATTCGAAAAGTTAACAATTTAATAAAAATAACAATATAAAAAATAGCTATATGAGAAATAGAATATGAAAAAAAAAGGTGATTCACTTTGTCAATTAGTTCTGAATAGTAAATATATAGTAAAAAGCTATATAATCACAATAAAATCGACAAAACATCTAGAAATAAAGAACATATCAAGGAAATAAAGTCATATGATATACTTAATTAGTAAATATAAATAAACTAATAAAAAATTAATAAATATTATAAAAATAGAAAAAGCAATACATAATACAATAAGATATAAATAAAATAATATAGGAATAAATAAATAAAAAATGCAACTAAGTTTCTATCTATATAAATAAAATGATTTATTAATAAAAAAACCTTTAAA